GTAGAGCTAAATATTTGTACAATCTGATTCAGTAGTACCGAATACAGAGCCTGAAACATCTCAATCTTGGCAGCATAGGGCCAAATGTTTGTATAAAATTGGAGTTTGAAATGTAGGCTACTGTATATCTTTATGGGTGACAGATAAAAGCCTCGTATCCTCCTTGTTTTGCAGAGTTTGACTTCTGTTTGTATGTTAAGCTATATTAGAAGGTTTTCTATAGTTTCTGTGCGTGTTTCTAACCTAAATTTTAAACTTCTCAATATTTTTGCTTTCTATGAGAAAATATTGTTTTGTCACCATTAATAATTTTTTTGAGAAAGGTATTCTTGTTTTCTGTATATTTTGTTGGATACACTTTATGATGTAAAATGTGTTGGATTCATGTTAAATATTTCTTTATTATGGTGTGTAATGCCTCTTCATCTATTCACATTCTGTAAAATTTACAGTCTAAATATGTTTACTCATTTACATTCTTATACATCTTTATTTTTTTTAAATAACTTTAAAGCTTAAATGTACTTCAAATATTTTTTGTATTCATTTCTATCTTTTTATTATTACAGGTGGAGGTTTACTTTTTACCTTTCAGCGTTTTTGTACGGGTTGTTTACTCTCTTTAGTGTAAGTTTATCTAAATTCACTTATTTCTTGAGAAGATTAAGATGTAACAAACTGTTATAAGGAGCTTATCTTTACCATTGTTATATATATCATACAGATCAAGACACAAATCTCTAGACTAAGGCTTGTGATAACGAGCTGTTAGATAGTTTGGAACTGTAACATCTTGTGTATTAAAAGACAATAAAGTTTTAACTATAATTGACTTTTTTTTTTCCTTTTATATTTAAAAAATAAATGTACTTATTTGGTCAGAATTATGGTGATTTAAAATTTGGCTACTTTGGTGTTGGCTATTTACACAATCAAGTGATCAATTAGTTTAAAAATATTCTAACAAATACATATTTTGCTAATTTCTAAAATAATTTAATTATAGTTGCTATTTTGACATATAATGGATTGAAAAAATAATTAGGCTGGATTTTTGTAAACTTTATCCTATTTAGTTAGTAACTTTCTAACTTAAATATTTTTCATAACTTGAAGAGAAGCTTTCCATAAGTTTTTTCTGGAAGTGACTAAAAATCAGTTTAGAATAAGAGGATAAAATGCTGTCAAGTTAAACTAAGAAAGAAACCTATTCTCAGTTTTCAAGTTAAACTAAGAAAGAAACCTATTCTCAGTTTTCAAGTTAAACTAAGAAAGAAACCTATTCTCAGTTTTCAAGTTAAACTAAGAAAGAAACCTATTCTCAGTTTTCAAGTTAAACTAAGAATGAAACCTATTCTCAGTTTTCAAGTTAAACTAAGAAAGGAAATTGATTTAACAGTAACTAAAAATTATGTCTAGTTGGCAGACGACTGCAGAATATGAACATTTGCCACGGTGATATCCGTTAAATTAGCATTTATGACTGAAACTTCTTTTAAAAAAAAGTTAGTTACTAAAATATTAAATGCATCTTGAACATGAATAATAATGTTTGTTTTTCTGTGTAGGATGTATGACCTAAAATGGAATGTATCTCCTTAGATATGGTTTGATCATATAATTTCAGTTTTGAAATAACGATTTATGGATGTGAGTTAATATTTAATACTTGGTTTTCTTTAGAAACCTTGGTTGTGGGACACTCGGCATTGCTGGTATGATTACCCACATCAGGTTAGTGTTTGTAGTGTTGGTTAAAGAAACTAATGTAATATTTGGTGTAGTTTTACCAAATGGTTGAGTAGAAGTTGTGGAACTAAAATCCTGACTGTTTGTGCAAAAATAAAACACCTCAGTTAAATTTCTCTACTTCTAGGAAAGTGTTAACGAAAGAATGTTACACAGCTTTCAGTATCTTCTTTCCAAATGATTATAAAGCAGTTCAAGAACTGGATAACAAAATGGTATTGTTTGTACATAAATATTGTTTAATGAAATATATAAACATTTCAGGAACAACTTAAACTATTAGTCATTGTTTTTATACAATACCAAAGTTTCGTTTCATAAGTGATGGTTTTGAAAAAAATATTTAAAGTTTTTAATCTGTTGAACAATATTTCTATTTTGTCTGTAGTATTTACAAGTTGTTGTTCTTCTATAAGTGTTGAGAAATGCTGTAATTTTGTACGTTTAATGGGACCAGCACAGATTTTTCTTTTTTTCAGTCAGTAACCAGTGATATGTGGTGGTATTACATGGTAGAGTTAGGTTTCTACTGGTCTCTCACATTTTCTCAGTTCATGGACATTAAAAGAAAGGTGAGTTAGTCCAATTATTGTTCTATAATTTCTTACATAAACCTTGTACACAGCCTACCGATAAGTAAACGTGTCTTATTATGTGAACACGAAACATGGTTCGTCTCTGATGATTCGATTAACCGTGGAAGACTGGTGATGAGCATGATTTTGTGTTAAAACACTGCCTTGTCTGGTAAGCTTATCTGATTTGTTATTTTGAGTATTAGTGTACCACTAGTTCCCCAGATGGCAACCCACACCTGAAGAAAAACCGTTGCTTTCCAAACATGACTGGAACTACATTGTCGGCTGTCTTCCTGTTCACTGTCGTATTGCAAGTGATCTGGCAATTTATCACTGACTTTGACCACCGATGGAAAATATTGTTAATTCTTGGGATTATTTTGTTTGTGTTAAGTAATCTTCTCCCAGCTATCCCTGTATTTATATGTTTGTATATTAGTTGAACATAATGTTGTCAAGAAGGACTTGTATTCTTGAATGTATTTACTTATCGTAGGCTGTGATATATATTGTAAGTTTTTGATACAGTGAATTACATGTACTTATCAAATATTAACTAAAATATATAATTTAACCATTACATGTCTTATAAATTGTGTGTACTGAATATGTTCTCTGTAACCTGTGTGTTTTCTAACTTGTAAATTGTGTGTACTGAGTATGTCTCTGTAACCTGTGTGTTTTCTAACTTGTAAATTGTGTGTACTGAGTATGTCCTCTGTAACCTGTGTGTTTTCTAACTTGTAAATTGTGTGTACTGAGTATGTCCTCTGTAACCTGTGTGTTTTCTAACTTGTAAATTGTGTGTACTGAGTATGTCCTCTGTAACCTGTGTGTTTTCTAACTTGTAAATTGTTTATATTGAATATGTCCTCTGTAACCTGTGTGTTTTCTAATTGTTACACCTGGGTGCATGTTTCAATCATCTAGTAACAAGAGAGCTGATTAATTTTGCTATAGAACAGTTTACTTTGCACGTACAAGGTTATGAACTGACTAACTTACTAAGAATACTTACTTAGAATACTACATTTTCAGAATTTGGTGATTAGTTTTATACTCCAAGTGCAATTGTTGTTTAAAAAACTTCTTTGTAGTAAGTAATGATTTTTATTGGTTCGGGATTTTCTGTGTAATAGGTAACGATTTTTATTGGTTCGGGATTTTCTGTGTAATAGGTAACGATTTTATTGGTTCGGGATTTTCTGTGTAATAGGTAACGATTTTATTGTTTCAGGATTTTCTGCAAATGTTTCTGCATCACATCATCACCATTTCATTGCTGAGTTTTTCTTGGGCCTGTAACTTCTGGAGAATAGGTACTTTAGTCATGCTTATCCATGACTTTGCAGACATTCCTCTGGAGGTAAGAAACGAACATTATTGTCGTGCTGACGTGTTTGTGAAAAGGTTTATTTTTTATCTGTTTCAATAAAGTCTCTAGTAAAATCATTTCTTTTATTACAAAGATTAAAAGGGAGTAACGTTTACGACACAACCAAACATAAAAGCAATCTTAACACCTCAATATAAATTTTAGTTGTGATTCAAACTTAGTCACCAGTTCTGTAAGGTGATGTTTATCTTACCATCTAGTCACCAGTTCTGTAAGGTGATGTTTATCTTACCATCTAGTCACCAGTTCTGTAAGGTGATGTTTATCTTACCATCTAGTCACCAGCTCTGTAAGGTGATGTTTATCTTACCATCTAGTCACCAGCTCTGTAAGGTGATGTTTATCTTACCATCTAGTCACCAGTTCTGTAAGGTGATGTTTATCTTACCATCTAGTCACCAGTTCTGTAAGGTGATGTTTATCTTACCATCATCTGATAAGACCACAGATAATCTGTATAGGAGTTAAATTAAATATTTGTTGTATTATTTAAGGTTTAAAACATTTCTCATTATTCAGTTCACTGAAGTCTCACAGACTAAAACATTTGGAATGTCTTGTAATTTGAATATTAATGTTCCAAATTGAAACTTGGTCAGCTCATTGAGGTGTTTTATTTATTGACATATTTCAATGGAAGAAATCTGTGTAACCATATCTGTAAGAGTTGGTTGTTCTGACTGACCTTATAACCATGAATCTATAACCCTGAAAGTACTGTGTGTGTGTATCTTCGTAAAATTTAGTAGGTTTTAGCGAAAGCTACAAGTCTGTTGTACACAAAAAAAAATCAGGTTTTTTAATATTGTTACTAAAGATTTGTCTGTGAATTTATGAATTATTTTACTTAACCAGTCTGAGTTCAAGGTGACATCTCGATTAGTTGAAGGTGATTTTCTTACTTAAAATAAAAATACTTCTTTCATCTCAGTTTTCATATTTCCACAACCTCTGGACCCTACTAATTTAATATTGCCTTGTTTCCACAATCTATGTAACCTACTAATTTAATATTGCCTTGTTTCCACAGCCTATGTAACCTACTAATTTAATATTGCCTTGTTTCCACAGCCTATGTAACCTACTAATTTAATATTGCCTTGTTTCCACAGCCTATGTAACCTTCTAATTTAATATTGCCTTGTTTCCACAGCCTCTGTAACCTACTGATTTAATATCAGTTTTTTTATTCAGTAATACTTTTTTTTCTTAAGAAGGTTTCACATTTGGCCAGTTTTGAATGGCTTTATTCATGCAAAATAGTGTTAACCACTGTCTGATGTATTGCAGGAGGTTTCCCAATCATATCCTGCTTGGCTGTTAACATATTCAATAATTTTCTTTCTAAAGGTTACTAAAATGTGTAAGTACTTAAAGAAGCAGAACTTGGCAGACATATCATTCATAATCTTCACTCTCGCCTGGATTGTTTCACGACTAGGACTTTTCCCTTGTAGGTATGTAGTGACATTTTACAATAAGTTCCCTAACTACCACTTATAAAATAGGATAGTTTGTTCTGCTGATAAAATTTTATTAACTTCTTTAACTACATTACAGAGACTTGCATTAAGTAATTTTAAGTCGTACAATTAAAAAAATGTTCACTAGTACATCGTGGACATCAGTTAACAGCATTTGTAATGAGAAGTTAAAATGGATGTACTTTTCCCAACCTAAAGATAATAGTTAATAACTATGACTGACATCTAATTCAGAGTTTGGGCTTTTGTAAGATGATAATAGCTTAAGATATTCACATTATTGTTTGATAAAGTAACCTAATGTACAGTGACTTTGTTTTATTTGTCTATTTTCATGAAATATGTAACAATATGGATTTTTATAATGTTCACTCCCTACAGATACTACCGTGTACTTGTAATACTGTTTTATAATGTTCACTCCCTACAGATACTACCGTGTACTTGTAATATCGTTTTATAATGTTCACTCCCTACAGATACTACCGTGTACTTGTAATATCGTTTTATAATGTTCACTCCCTACAGATACTACCGTGTACTTGTAATATCGTTTTATAATGTTCACTCCCTACACTGTAATGTATTTATCTTTATTTTATAGAATAATCTACAGTACAATGTATGAAGCCATCATCATTCTGGACTTTTTTCCAGTATATTACATCTTTAACTCACTGCTTCTAGCACTTCAGTGTCTCCACATTGTGTGGACCTGGATCATTGTCCGTATCGCCATCCAGGCTATTAGAAAGGGAGTAAGTTCTGTCTTTGAAACTCGTACAAGTGTTTGTAGTTGAAAAGTATCGGTGATGATGATGACAGGTGATTTGTTGCTCTGGAAAATAGTGTGTGTGTGTATATGTAAAGTAAAATATTTATTTCTTTATATACCGAGCTATGTGCTCCCATACTGCTTATTAATAAACTTCTAACTTTCGTCTGTTATTGTTTAAATGTTCAACATAGCTATAGGCAGTCCATTTCTCAAGTTCGATAACCTTGCACATGTTCAAGAAATCGGGCGTACAACAGAATGGTTAGTCTTTAGATGACACAGAACACTTTGTTTAATCTGCATTTAGCTTTAGTTTTTAAATTCTCATTTCTTTCATGTTTGCTTCCATCGGTATTGTGTTCGTAGCTCACTCCGTCCAGTGTTGATATTAGTCTTTCAATTTAAAAACAATTATTCTGTTATAGGACTAGGTATCTTATTGTAAGATGTGCTATAAATCTGGGTTGAAAATTAGGCATGTAACTGAGTCTAATTATTTAAAAAACAATTATTCTGTTATAGGACTAGGTATCTTATTGTAAGATGTGCTATAAATCTGGGTTGAAAATTAGGCATGTAACTGAGTCTAATTATTTAAAAAACGTTATTCTGTTTACAAACTTTAGGTGAAAGATCTACGAAGTGACGACAGTAGTAATGCAGATAGTAGCAGCTGTAGTGATGAAAACATTTCGAACAAAACTAGAAAAAGTCGCCAGTCCTGAGAATAGTAACTCGCTCGGAAATCTTGTCATCACCATCATCGTCACGTTAAGCATCATCAGTCACTGTTACGGCATTCCAAGCAGTCCTTGAAATACGAAGTTTTTTGTTAATGTGTATTTCATGATTATAAATCTGTGCGTAATTAGTGGATTCACTGCAGGGCTCATAATTATCATTTTGATTTTTGTTGTGACCAAAACGATAGAGGAATTGTTTTTGATGCCATTATAATGATGTTATAAATCTATGTATTTGCTATATCAACTTTCAAGTTAAAAATATGTAACAATTAAAAACATATTTAATAAGCTACTTAAAATATTCTTTATTAACCCCATGTGCACATTTTGGGGTCAAAGCGTGCATGCCCCATCCATTTACGGTGTCATTCAACAGTGCGTTTGATATCAGAATTATCAACTATTCATTGTTGAGTTAGTTACAGAAATACAGAAAAAAAAAAAAAACGACATAAATATGCATTTTGTCAATTCTAGAGGTTATCCAAGTGCAGTTTTACAATAAACAAAAAATCTTTTTTATTGTTCATGTGAGCATCACCTTGTACTCCGACTTGTTAGACTGATGTCGTTAATTCACCTGATTTTATGTATACATCAAACTTGAACATTGTACTACATGTTTACCTAGACACTTAGTACACTAATGCCTATTTATCACATTTTACGCTTAGTCATGTTTGCATGTATATAAACATCCCTTCGCCAATACAGGGTCAGTCTATTGGACAGATCATGTGCATGTTTTTTATTATGCTGTTGTCATGTTATAGCATGGCAAAGAGGACAAAGTAACCAAAATGCAGGTAGTTAGCATCTTACGATGCAATAAAAAAGAAACTACTTAAATACTGAACGGGAGAAATGTTATAAAACTATGCAATACAGAGAAACTTTAACGTGACTTTAAGTGTAAAATGTGATGATAAAATACAACACATCTGTACGTTAAGAAGGTTTTTTTTATATGAAACATTAGGTAATGAGCTTGTTATTCAAAAACATACCTTCTTGTAGTGGCCTTAATGTATCGTTTATCTGAAAGGTAAATAGAGGAGAGGGCCAACTTTAAATTAAGAAAATGTGAAAACTCAAGTAAGATTAGAAAGGGGTAAAATAAAGGAAGGAATGTTTAAACCCACAATGTTGTACTGCTTGACACTTCCTGACCAGGTTAT